CCATCCCCCCTGGGTGGTGATTTCTTGTTTTCTGTCTCTCTCTGTCTGACGGGCAAGCGCTTGAGCCCTGTAGCAAAAAGAAAGAAGAAAGAAAGAAAGAAAGAAAGAAAGAAAGAAAGAAAGAAAGAAAGAAAGAAAGAAAGGAAGGAAGGAAGGAAGGAAGGAAGAGAGAAAGAGAGAGAGAAAGAGATAGATGAGAGAGAAAAAGAGAGGGAGGGAAAGTGAGAAGGCAAGCTGCCAGGTCGCAGAATTGAACCATAGTCAACCACGTGGGAGTCCAGCGCCCTTCATCACCACGCCACCTGCCGGCCCCAATTGTAAGGTTTTCTTTCTTTCTCTCTTCCATGAGCTGGAGAGAGGGAGAAAGAGACAGACAGCATCCCCACCAAGGGCTCGACACTGCTCTCCACCCGCAGCCTCCGCCAGCTGGGTTGGGGCACACGTGTGCCGGCCTATCAGGGAGCGCTCTGCGTCCAGGGAGCCCGTGGGCCACCCCAGGCCAAGACTGCAGGAGCGTGAGGAAGCCTGCTGGCCTCAGCTAGCAGAAGCAGTGGGCGTACAGCCGGCACTGTGGACCGAGGCTGATGGGAAGCTGAAGACACTCCCCCAGTGAGCATGACCTTCAGGAGGCTGGGAGGCTCGGCTCTCCTGAGGCACCTCTGCCCATTAGAGAGGTCGCTGGCACCACCACAAAGGAAGCTTCTCGCACCTGCAGAAGTAAACAGTCACCACTGTCACAATCGGTCTCGATGCCGCTCAATTATTTTTTTAAGAGGTTTTTGGTATAGGGCGTGTGCGCTCACCAGACAGAAAGCAAGAAATCGCCCCCCAGGGGGATGGCCACGCCGCAATCCCTTCTCCTCCATTCTCCTCTCGGGATCTTGGGCACGCACGCACATGTGCCCAGCATGAGTTTAAGCCACCGGGTCCAGGACTCAAATTGCTGTCGACTACGTGGGAGTCCAGTGACGTAGCCATTACACTAACTGCTGGTTCCGATGCTGATCATTTTTAAACTGAAGACTTCTAAAGCCCTGTTGCATTTTCCCAGCCTCAAGCACAAATGGGGTCTGGCTGGCCCAGTGCTCCAGATGAAGTGGTGCGGTGTTAGCTGTGCCCTGTGGGGGCCAGCTGGTGGGGAGGTAGTTAAGGACACTGGGCTCCCACATGGCCGACCGTGGTTCAAGTCCCAGACATGGAGGCTTGCTTTCACACTTTCCCTCTCTCTCTCCTTCTCTGGTCAAATTTAAATAAATAAATAAATAAAGTTATATAAAATAATTTTTAAAAAATGATATGGGGACCAGCAATTAGTGTAATGGCTATGTCGCTGTGGTCAACAGTTCGAGTCCTGGACCTGGTGGCTTAAACTCACACCGGGCACATGTGTGTGTGTGCCCAAGATCCCGAGAGGAGAATGGAGGAGAAGGGATTGTGGCATGGCCATCCCCCCTGGGGGGTGGTTTCTCGCTTTCTATCTCTCTGTCTCTCTCTGTCTGGCGAGCGCACGCGCCCTCTCTAAAAGAAAAAAAGGTATGACCTGTGACCAGAGCTCTCCTCCCACGCTGCCCATCCCCCAGTCTCCTTGCCACCTCCATCTCCACTCCGGTTAAATTTCTGTGTCTGCCTCTTCCTCCCCCCAGTCCTCCTGGATCACCTGCCCACTATCCATGCGCCCCCTCCAGGGCCGAGTCTCCCAGGCCTCCTTCTTTCCCAACAGACTGCGGAGCCTGCGGGACTTTCCCTAAAGTTTGAAGAACCAGACTCCGGATGCAGAAGCCAGGACCCGAACCCCCAGTACACGCCGGTTATCAAGCCGGGGCAGACTCCAGCTCCCGGGCAGAAAGAAGGAGCCAGAGAGTCAAAGGAGGTATGCGGCTGGAGGCCTGGGGAGCGCGGGGGATGGGTGCGGGGCGCGAAGGGGGCGGAGCCAGGGGAAGAGGGGCCTAGGGCCGAGGGCCCTGGGCTGGGACTTGGGCTGGCTGCGCTGAGGCTGTCCTGACCTCTCCTTTCCCAGCCCGCCCCGCCCACCCTGCCCAACCCACTCCCTGCCAAGCCGCAGCTGCCCGCAGAAGTCTACACAAGCCCCGCGCCGAGACCCCGCCCGGGCCCACCCCCCGAGCCCACCACTCCTATCTACCATGAGCTCGACGAACCCATAGCCTTCTACGCCATGGGCCGGGGCAGCCCCGGGGAAGGCCCCAGCAACATCTATGCCGAGGTGGAGGGGCCGCCTGCGCCTGAGCGGCCGCCCGAAAGCCCGCCGACCAGCCTGGCACACCTCATCCTGCGCAAGTGCCGCTCCAGGCCTGTCTCTGGAGGCCAGGGGGTGCAGGGAAAGGTTAGTCCAAGGTCTTCCTGCAGGACAGCGTGGGAAGGGCGAGGAGGGGTTCGTGTTGGCCTGGATCAGAGGCGGGGTAGTATGAGAAGGGTGATTGGGGCACCAGCAGGTGGCGTGTGGTTAAGGTGCTGGACACTTCCACATGGCCAACCAGGGTTCAAGTCCTGGACCTGACAGCTTGCTTTTTCACTTTCTCCCTCTCTCTCTCTCTCTCGCTCTCGCTCTCATGCACATGCGCATGCACATGGCCTGCAACAAAATGAGAATAAAAAAAGAGAAGGGTAGATGGTCAGGGTCCCAGGGTCCCAGCATCCTGGCAGCCCTTCCCAGGCCCAGAGATTGCTCCCTCTCTTCCCTGAGTCACTCAGACCTGTCTCACGTTTGTCACGACCCCACCCCTCCTGCTTCGCAGAGAAAACAAGCCCCAAGCAGGGAACCCCTCGCTCTCTGCGTTCGCCTTGTCTGCCAGGCTCTCTTCAGGCAGGCGTCTTTGGGGAAGACCGTCTGCCCGCACCTCTCCGGCTCTCCCCGTTGGCCTTCAGGGCCCCGCCATCCCCGAGAAGAGCCGTGGGGTCTTGCACCATCTCAGAGGAGCTCAGGGGAAGGGGCACCTGCAGCCCTTGCCTCCTCCCTGTCCCTGCCAAGTCACTGACTCCTGCTGGGTCTCTTGGTGTATTTTTCCTTTCTCCAGTGCCAACCCTCAGGACCTCCCCCCACCCCAGTTTTGTTATAGGGTTGCATGTGCTCACCAGAGAGACAGAGGAAGAGAGAAAGGGAAAATGAGAAAGCACTCCCCAGGGGCGATGGCCATGCTGCAGTCCCTTCTCTATTCTCCTCTCTGGATTTGGAGCACACACATATGCCCAGCGTGTTTTTCCAGCTGCTGGGTCGGGGACTCAACTGTGCAGTGGGCCGTGTGGGATCCAGTCATCTTAACCACCAGGCCATCTGCTAGCCCTCCTCAGAATGTTTCTAAGAGCTGCTGCTTTTCTTTCTTCCTTTTTTATTTTTTTCATTTTGCCAGAGGGGCATGTGCACTCACCAGAGGGGGAGGGAGGGAGGGAGAAAGTACCCCAGTGAAGCAGGTCACCTTGCAATCCCTTATCCATCTCTCTCTCCTTTCAGGACTTTGGACATACACACGCATGCACCCAGCAAGTTTCTCAGGCCACAGGGTCCAGGGCTCAAACTGCAGTCAGCCTTGTGGGACCCATGTGGGGTCTCAACCACCAGGCCGCAGGCTGGCCCTTTTTCTTCTTCTTAAAGTTGACTTATTTTGTTCCATGTGCAAAAGAAACAGAGGCCAAGAGAGAAACGGCACACCTCCCCATTCCAGCCTCAGCCGGCCCAGATGGACACGGGTCCCGCAAACGCAGGCGGGTCTCCAGTGCAGAACTGGGAGCTTCCCGTATGGAACCCTCTTGGAGGGTTGCGTTTACCACTGCGTCAGCATCTGGCCCCTGCAGGAGCTTCTTAACTGGTCTCCTAACCACTTCTGGCTGCTGCAGATCCACTCCTCCCCAGGGAAGCCAGAATGGTCTTTCTGAACAGCTGCCTCCCCCTGAGGTGCCCCTTGCTGGGGCAGGAAGCTCAAACCTCCTTAGCCCCACCCCCTCAGTTGCTCCCATCCACCCAGCACTGACATCTCTCCAAACTGACCAGGTGCTTTCCTGCGTCCTAGGGTTTGCACTCACCATTCCCCTCCCTGTAGGAGCTTCCTGCAAGCTTGTCCTGCTGCCTGCCAACCTTCTCATCACCCTTCAAGACCAGCTTGCCTTTGTCCTCTGGCGGGACTCCCCTGACCTGACCTCAGAGGCCACCTGCTGTGCTCACATGCACTTTCGTGCCCTGCCCCATGCTTTCCTAGCAGAGTGTGGCCCGAGGGCAGGGGCTGGGATTCGTTTCTCTCTTTCCAAAGCACCAGGCAGTTCCTGGTACAAAACAGGAGCTCAGGAAATGTTTGTTGAATGAATGAATGGCGTTTCGAATGGCCTCTCTGGAGGCCAAAGTCTGTCAAGACCAGAAATCTTGGCCCTTGAGACTGCACGTTGGCCTATGGGCAGAGGCCAACTACCGGGGTAGAGGGCGTAACTAGAACTGCCCTTCTCTCTGCAGAACCCAGAGGGCCCGCAATTACATTCTGAACACTCTGTGGCTGGATTAGGGCCTCCCCTGTTTCCCCAGCCCCCACCTTCCTGGAGGCACACCCTCCCCCACAAACTTTCTAGACAGGTGCTTCAGGACTGAGGACAGGCGTGGCTGCCCCTTGGGCCTGCTCAGTAGGTGGTGAGTCTGAGTTGGGGAGGAAAATCTGGAACATTCGGTGGACCAGAGACCCCCCCCCCACACACACACACACACACACACACACACACACACACACACACACACACACACACACACACACACACACACACACACACACACACACACACACACACACACACACACACACACACACACACACACACACACACACACACACACACACGCCTGGGTGCCCTTCTTAGGAAACGTGGATGAAACAAACCGTAGGTGATCAGAGCTGGAAAGGACCTCAGCCTTCATCTATTGTAAGGATGGCAAAGAGGTGTCAGCTTGCATGCCAGCTCCAATCCATTGGTCGTGGCTCCTAGAGTGCCGCAATGGAAAGGATGTTAAGGTCATGTCTGAACTCAGCAGAAAAGAGCACCATGATTGATTAGTGATGTCTGCCACGGGTGAGGGAGGGGGGGAAAGCGGTTTTTCATTTGCCCTTCCTGATCAAGTTCAACTCCCTCACTGTGCAGATAAGGAAACAAAGCCAGAGAGGGGTAGTGATTTGGCCAAGGCCAAGACTAGGACCCTGGCTTCTCGAGTCCCCTGTTAATGCTCTGTTCCTTACCCCACATCCACTCTCTTCTCCACAGGAAACATCAGAGATTTCCTGAGAGAAAATCTGGCTGCTTTCCAGAGTTCTGCTGCATGGGGGCCTGGGCGATGGTCCCTTCCTCTGATCTCCACTCAGCCCTGTCCCCCCTCACAGACCCCCCTCCAAGAAGCCTGGAGAGGATCAGATGCAGGGTCTGCTGCTTCTTAGGGACACACCGTTGGCTCCCTCCAAAGAGTCCCCAAGAATCCAGGGGCTCAGTGAGTGACCATCCTCTCAGATGCAAGGAAGCACGCTGGAGGGCCCTGCTGGCTCCGGCTGCCCCAGCCTGTCCTGGAGTCAGATTTCCTTGGCCCCCTGAGCCTCTGAGTCTGGGCCCTGGTCCAAAGCTGCTGTTGTCTGAGGAATGGTTTGGTGAGAACAGATGTTAGAACTTGTTTGTTGATTCCTGTCTGGCTAATAAATCATCACCAACCACCTCCCCACAGGATCCGCGTCCTCCAGCTCCGCTGTCTGCCTCTCCCCACCCCATCCTACTGTGGCCGCCAGTGGTTGAGCTGCCAGTGCAGTGGGGCAGAGGCTGGGGGCTGGGAGACACCACGACAGGGGACACAGACCTCTCCACAGAGTACTCCCTCCCGAGCTGGGGCGGGGAGTGGGTGGGCAGCCAGGGCAGTCGGTGACTGCACCCTGGGGGTGGCGCCAGTGGCACCTGCCAGTAGGAGATGGGGCAGGAGGGGCAATCGAGGGGTAGCCAGGCACAGGAGTGGACAGGAGGGGATGGACGGGAAGGGATGGGGAGGAGGAGGGTGCGTGATGACCCTGTACGAGAGCCCCTTGGAAGACAGTGACACTCCTACAGTGGCACCGGGATTCCTTCAGGTCTCCCCAGCCTCCTGGGCTTCTCTGTTGGCATCCTTTCCATCCCGTGGCCTTTTCTACTCAGACCCCCCTCAGGCTCGCCTTCTGCTCCCGTGGAAGCTCTGCACACTGGGGCTCACCCACCTGGAAGCACCTGCCCTGGCTGAGACCGAGTGGGGCTCTCTGGGGCTGTGCCTGCCCCCGGATCATCCCAAGAGACTGTGACTGAAGACCGTCCTCAAAGCCACTCAGCCTGGTACTCCTGGGGGCCCATCTGCACAGCCCCTTCCTATAGGGCCTAGTCAGGGCAGTCGGCCCATCAGGGCCCCTATTCTGGTCAAGGGGTCCTCTTCCTGCTGGAGGCACAGAAATGCTCCAGACCCTTCCCTCGGGCTATGTTCCCGAGACCTGGGCACAGCTGCAGCAGACCCCCAGCCAAGGCCACCCAGGCACAGCTCCAGTGACTGGCCAGCTCCCCTCTTTCCACTCCAGTGCTCATCAGCTTAAGGAGAGCTTTGGCTGCTGAGTCAACAGAGTCGGGGTTCCACCTCCTGTGCGTGCCCTCCTGAGCAGGAGAAGGGGAGGCAGCAGAGGGGAAGGGAGCAGGTGGCCCGGCTAGAATCGAGGCTGGGAGGGCTGCCGTGCAAGGTCTCCGGTTGGACTTGGAGCCACGTCACGAGAGGCTCCTTGTGGCAGGGGAGGGCAGAACAGCAGAACGCAGTGGCTACTACAGCAAGCCTGGAAGCAGGTCAGAGAGCAGGACGGGCAGGTGCGGAGGGGCCAGGGAAGGCAGTGCTCAATTGGCATTCCCGGAGGGGCACAGCTGTGCAGCCTGGGGGCCCTCTCCCCCTCCTACGGCCCACACCATGGGGATGGAAACCGAAGGGGATGGCGTGCGGCCTGGGTTCCTGTTACGGCGCTGGGCGACCTCTGCAAGGAACCCTCTCTGGGCCGTGGGTCCACATTCCTTCGGCACCATAGATAGTGCCTTATTTGCACCCGGGGTTGCCATAAACAAGAGCACGTGAGTGAGGGGCCTCTCGAGGCCGGAACCCAGGGTCTGGGAGGGCCGCAGAAATCCTTTCGGATGGACGTTCGGGTTCAAGTAGAGGGAAACAGAGATCTGGAGAGGGGAGGTGACGGAGCCGGATGCAGCCCGGCCCCGGGCCCCAGACCCTGCCATCCCTACCGTGTTGCTCCTGACACCACGGCTCCCCTCAGGTAAAGCATAATAAGGGCCTAGCCCTGGCACCAGAGCACCCGGGCGCCATCCTGCCACCCTCAGTCCCCAGCTGAGGCCTGGGGCTGTCGCAAGACCTTAGGACGGAGAAGCTGAGTGAGAGGAAAAGGGAACTGGGGCAATTGTGCTGAGCGGGTGGCCTTTGCCAAGAGGGGGAGGACATTTCTCTGCCAACTCAACCCTCCCTTGTCACTCCATCTCCCCAGTCTCCCGCACTCTCCGACTCTCCGATTTGCAAAAGACCAGTCTCCCCCACCTCCATCTGCCCTGAGCAAGGGAGGGCCGAGAGCTTGGCTCCCACCAGCCGCAGGGCCCTTAGCTCGGCCCAGCCCGGCCCGGCCTCAGCACCCGGCCCACGCTGCTGGCTCTCCCATTGTCTCCTGCACCCCCTAAGCCATCCTTTCCACCGTTTGCCCCATCACCTTCTCAGAAAGGTGAGCTGGAGACTAAGTTAACAGCTCCTGAACTTCAGCAGTTCGATCCCACCCAGAGCACCGACACTCCATGAGCCCCCTGGAAAAGGGTAGGGCTGCTCATCAGCGAGGCCCCACCCGGACTACTCCTAGGCCTCACCTGACAGCAAGCTGAATACGGGGTAGGGTAGAGAGGTGTGGGCAGTGTTCCAGCATCCTTGCCACTTCCCCTGGCCCCTCAGAACTTCAACCTCAGTACCCTGGGCTTCCTGGACAAGCTCGGCTGGAGTAAAGACCCGGCTGGGGCTCTCCCCAGGGCTGGCAGTGTTGGGAAGGAAAGAAACACCCTCATTATGAAAACTGGGCCTCCGTGCAAATATATATATATTTTTTAATTTGCTATACAGCACATACACTTGTGGGAGACAGGGGACGTGAGGAAGCACCCCCAGGAGGCGATGGCCACTTTGTGATCCCCTCTCCTTCATTCTCCTTTCAGTTATTTTTTTTTTTTCTGGGGAGAAATTTTTGTTATAGGGCGCATGCGCTCCCCGGAGACAGAGTGAGAGACAGTGAGAAATCAAAGGGGCATAGCCACTCCACAATTCCTCCTCCATTTTCTTCGGGATCTTGGGCATGTACCCACGTTGGCCTAACATGCGCTTCAAACCACCAGGTTCGGGATTTGAACTATAGTCCACCATGTGGGACTCCAGGGCATGGGCCACCATGCCACGTGTTGGCTTCTGTGCAGTTTCTAATCTGATCCTGGGCTGGCAGGTGGCATGGTGGTTGAGATGCTGGATTCCCACATGGCCGACCACAGTTCAAGTCCTGAACCTGGCGGGTTGCTTTCTCACTCCCCCTTTCTCTCTGTCTGTCTCTCTCTGGCCAAAGTTGAAGAATAATGATAATAAATAAAATTAAAGATAAATACTAATTTTTAAAAAATCTTTTAAAAAAAAAGGATCTGCCTTTGGGAGCAGATGACATGTCACTGGACTCCCATGTAATTGACCGCAGCTTCAAATTCACGCCCGACATGAGTGCATGCATGCCCAAAGTCCCAAGAGGAAAATGGAGAAGGGATTTTGGCGTGGCCATGCCCCCTAGGGGGTGATTTCTCACTTTCTGTCTCTGTCTGTCAAGTGCACATGCCCTATATCAAAAATCCATCTTAAAAAAAAAAAAAGAAAAAGGGTCCGCTTCTGATCTGCTTCCTCAACTCTCCGTCCCTACCTATGCAATACACATTTGGGGATCGCCCTAGATGCACTTCTGCCCAAGGCCCTCACATCCTCCTCTGCCCATGGCTGCTGCTGCCAGTCCAATCTCGGCCCAGTTTTCTCTTGCTCCCCTCTCCCTTACCCCTGCCTTTGTATTCTCCTTCCCGCTGATTTTTCAGAACCTGAGGCTACAACCTCCAGGAAGCACACCCACCCTGCACTCTATAATACAGAGGAAGAGAGGGAGGGAGAGGTAAACAGAGAGGTATCTTTGATAGGGTCTTGCAGTGTCCAGACCTCCCTGCCCTGCCCCAGTCTCCCAATTAGCTAAGGTTCCAGGCACATGCAACAATGCCCGGCTTCAGGCATCGAAACCTGGGCTCCCACTCCAGCCTCTCAAGTAGTTGTGCTTCCTCTGCACCACCACAGATGGGCGAAGTCTACATTTTCAACCTGTTGGTATTTCTCTGGGTGATCAGGAAATTCCAACCAAATACACTGCCATCTTCAGCAGTACTAAAAAGTGCCTTCTTTAAAAAAAAAAAAGAAAGAAAGAAAAAGAATGATTTATTTATTTAATTCCATTTGTTATTATAATTAGTATTATTATTTTGACTGGAGAGACACAGAGAGGGAAAACGAGAAAGCATGCCGCTGGGTCTGGGACTCGAACT